GACTCACTTGAGCCAGGAGTTGGAGGTTGCTGTGAGCTGTGATGCCACAGCACTCTACCCAGGGGGATAGCTTGAGCCTCTGTCTCAAAATAAAAAAAGAGAAAAAATATATAAAGTAACCCAGGTAACCAATGACCAATAGAAAAGGGCTACCTGGAGGCACACAGAGGCCAATGAAAGACTTGCAGCCAATTTCAAATAGAGCAGTGGTTCTCAACCTTCCTAATGCTGTGATATATTTTCATTGTTACAAAGGGGTGGCGACCCACAGGTTGAGAACCACTAAAATAGAGTATTTATACCCCTGCAGGCCGTGGTTTCAAATAGAGTATTTATATCTGTGCAGGCCTTTGTCTCCTCTCTCTCACCTCTTCACCCTTGAGAGAGGGACCCACTTCCAGCTCTCTTTGGAAGTGCTCTTAACTTTCTCTTTGTTCTTCCTAAATAAAATCTCTCTGTTACCCTGAAATTTGTGGTAGTTACCTTTACTTTCTATCCACATTGCCTGTGCCACTCCCTCTGGTTCTATTTTCAGTTTCCACTCACTTTTGCTTTCAATTACTATCATGCCTTGGTTGAACTTTCCAACTCAGCCAAGTAATTGAAACAGGTCAACTGGATTCGGGGAACTGGGATCCCCGACCCCCAACAGTTATGCTACTTTGATCAATTTATTTGCCTCTAAAATCTAAAGTAGCACAGCCGACTAAAGAAAGGGGGGAGGATGGGTGAAGGGAGGGTGATTGCGGGGATCACGCCTATGATTTTTCCTATAAGGGTACATGTGAATCTTTCTAAATGTCGAATATAAATGTCTTAACACAACAATTATGAGAATGACATGATGGCTATGTTGGCCAATTGGATGAAAGTATTTCAAATTGTATATGGAAACAACACACTGTATCGCATGATAGAATTAATGTGCACAAATATGATCTAATAAAGAAAAGTAAAAATCCTTAATCCAGTGAGAGTCTAACTTAGTTAATGGTGAAAGGTATGGATCCAGTTTCAGTCTTCTACAGGTCCCCAGCCAGTTTGTCCAGCACCATTTGTCAAATAGGGAATCTTTTCCCCATTCAATGTTTTTAATTGGTTTATCAAAGATGAGGTAACGGGCT